CAGACTGACGCTACCACCCTCTGTGAACAATTTATACGCTGCCAAGAACAAGAAAATAACGTGGTGGATCCAAGTTCTTAACACAAAATATAGTGATCGAACAATCCATTCATGGTTTCTTTAAATTTATGAGAATTGCACTTAGATCGCTACTATTTACTATAAACTGTCAAAAATTGAACTCACGTTATTTAAGTCGACGCTACAACAACGGCTCAAATTCAAAGACTAGTAGGCTGTCTTGTATAATTGAATCCTATGAATCTTAGATGTTCACGTTTTTTTAATTTTCCATTTCACTCTGAATCGAAGTAACGAGAATGCCTATGAATCATGCTTTAGTATCTACATGACTTTCCTCCCGATACATGTGTTCCTCAACCCTAGTTATCCTCCTTATGAATCATATTGGGATGAAAGCAACTTGAAGAGGATAAAATCCGAAGGTTGTAACTATTTCTGCTTGAGCAACTATGACGTTGAATATCCAGCTAACAAGTCAAATGATCACTTTGGCGTAATTTAATCTCTAATTTTGCTAATTTGAGTTTCTTCCTCATCGACTTCATTCTCATGAATTTCATTTTCAACCAAAAAAGGTTTCATTTCTCTCTGCCATCTGAAACAACTTGAGCGGAATTTATATGCGTAGGTAATTTGCCTTGGCATTTGCTTTAATCTGTGTCCGCTCACCTGACTGCTCGTTGAGAAAATTATATTAATTAGCACTCTCTCATACTCCCTGCTGATCAATATGCTCTCTGTTATATTGCAGGTTTAGGTATCAGATGAATTCAGATTATAATATGTTCTTCTACTTGAACCTTTTACTTCATTAGTTTCATTCTATTGCTTTATGAAAATAAAAATAATCTTTCAGAATTCTGATGTCCAAACTCCTGAGCAGTGTGCTGTTCAAGAAATCGGAGAAACAGGAGAAAAGTCAAAAATTATTTGAAGTTCTATCTTATCCTGATTCGAAAAATCTTCCGAAAACAGAAGAACAATTCAATCTTGATGGTAGAATAACAATTAGGACCACTTTAACTCCGTATGTATCTTAAAAGTGATTTTAAATTTCTTTCTGACAGACCCCTGGTAGATCACGTGAGATGCCCATTCAACTCCATTGAACAATCTAAGAGGTATCTTAGCTTTCAATTGAAATCTTTTAATTTGTAATTTATCAAGTAAAACAAATAACAGACACCATATCAACATAATGAAACCGGCTCTCCAATCTCAGAATGAGGAACGAAATGAAAAAACTGTAAAACTCTGATATGGAATGAATATAAATTTTTCTGTTCAGATAACTTCTACCAGTAAAACAGCTGTCAAACGTCAATTTGAATATGAATTTTATTGGATGACAAAGGAAGAGATGGAGATAGAAAAAAGAAAAAATGAGACCATCTGACATGAACCATTAGAACCTTTTCAGAACAAACATCTCAGTCGATAACGTTCATTATAATTCACAATCAATTTTCAATGTTGATAAACTTAGAAAAATCATAATGTTTTCATACGCATATATAGTCCACCTGTGAACAGGCCACAGAAATGATAGAGATAACTAAAGATTTCATGAGGAGTCGGTTCCAGAAGAAGAATTCTGATTAGCTCAACGTTTACATCACTTTTCTTTGCAGATGCAGCTTTGTTAGAATCAGCAACGTCATAAGCAATACCAACAATCAGTTTATCCATGAAAGTTGTTAAACAGTTTCAACGTGAAGTGTCATTATCAATTGAATAACATTAGCATGGCTAGCTGAATTTATTTATTATATATATTTATTTACGTGAAGGAAGTAGGTGTAAATAGTGCGTTGATATTAATATAAATAGAAAATAAGACAAGAATAACAAGAAAATTAAATTATAACAGAAAGATATCTATCCTTCGATAATAACTTTTGATACCTTCGGAGATCAGAAGCTTCGGTTTTCTATATGCGTTACATTGGGAGTTGGAATATACCCATCTTGTACTGAACATGCAACAGTTGTTGAACTCAGTTGTATACAAACGAAATGACGTTTGTTTCAGAACTAATGAAAAACAAGGCTATTATGATATATTATGAATTCAGTGAAAGTTACAGAGCTAACAATGTTTGTCTCAGCTTTATGGCTCTGTACCTAATATAAATATTGATATATTCTGTAATATATTAATATCTATATTGAAACAGATCCTTCCTTGTTGTTCCATGTGAATTTGCCGAAGATATTATTTGCAACCTTATCTCAGTAGATGAAGCTGGTTGTCGTTCACAACTTTTTCATTGGTTCTATTGAGTGACATACACGTTACGTACAAAACCGAAGTTTCTGATCTCCGAAAGTATCAAAAGTTATTATCGAAGGATAGATATCTTTCTGTCATAATTTAATTTTCTTGTTATTCTTGTTTTATTTTCTATTTATATTGATATCAACGCACTGGTTACACGTACTTCCTTCACATAAAAGCTTTCAACTTCGCAACTTTCAGGTGATTACATGGTGCCCCTACTCCTAATCAGTCTTTTCCTTGCGACGCTTTTACTTGCAGGTATTGCATATATATTAAAAATGAATGATTAGACGGTTTTCTTATGTGTTATCTCATCTAGGCAGTTGTCAGGCATTGAAACACCACGGATCTCATTAATTCTCAAATCTTTCGCTTGAGTTTGTGGGTCAGGGTTACACAGCAGCGTGAAGTCTTCTTAGATACTAAGAAAGGTTAATGAGAAATCCCGAGAACAATTTGATCTCAATCTGGATGCAATCTCCTCATAACCACAGATTTTAAACATTCATCTCAAAGGTTTACATTACCAATGCTTCTTAACTATATGAAAACGAACGCGCTTGTTACACGTTCTTTTTTTTTACGTAAATGCTTTCAACTTTACAACCTTCAGGTGAATACATGTTGGCTCCACTCTCAATCGGTCTTTTCCTTGCGACGATTTCACTTGCAGGTATGGCATATTATATTAAGAATGAATGATTAGAAGTATTCAAATTCTTATTTCAGTCGATATTTCCGGTATAAGTGAGATAATGAACAACTTTCAGAGAACGTTGCCTTCCCTGACAGCTCTCTGTCGATTTCTGCAACTACGACGCCTATGACACCACCAGTGTTTGATTTCGATACTGAATTTACGAAGTTGTCCAAAACGTGTTTGAGCAGCGAGGAACATGAGCAGTTATGGAACAACACTGTGCATCATTATTTTGCACGCATACAAAATCGTAATTTGTTTGGTGCAGCGCTAGATATGATTGGCCAGACAGAGATGAGAACGACACTCAACTTCTTGCCACGCCTTAGCTGGAAATCCTGGGGATACCGCGTCTTTGAAGAATCCGGGGAAACTAGGTTCTCTCAAAAGCCTAGTGAAAGCGAACTGGCATCGGCGACTACTATTGAAGCTTACTATAATCTTGTAGAACCGCGTCACATAATTTCCAATCCTGTTATGTTCCCCGTGGAGAAAAATATGATTCCTGCAGTTGCATTTTTAGACACTCGTTTCCCCTTCATTCGTGCCTATTTAAGGCGTAGTTTTGAAGAAATCCGTCGGCGGGATGGAGGAGAGATAAATAGAAAATTAGTTGATGATATGATCGAGAAGAACGAAGAGATTTTATATAAAGTAGAAAGAGCAATGAATCCAATG